AAGCCAAAGAGGGGCAGCAGTTTCAGCGTCCATACTACGAATTGCTGCATGTTTGTTTGTATGAGCTGATGGATTCAATGCCGCCTCTCTCGTCACCGTGCCTTGTCGAACAAGAGGCAAGGCAAGTTCCTGCTGGCTGTTTTACAAGGGCCGTCTACGCCCTCCACTCCACGGACAATGAACAGACCGAGACTGCGGCATTGACTGTACGGAAATTAATCAAGGAAGAGGATCAAGGAATGATGCGTGGAGCTGCCTCTAGCCAAATTCCGCTGAAGCGAAAGGGTTCAAAGACGAATTCAGCCAAATCAAAGTATGGAAAAAGTGGGAAACTCGGAAGAAGCAGTGTTGTGTCGTGGAATTTGAAATCCGCTCCGAAAATCACAAAAGCAGCGGGGGTAACTTCAGCTAATAATAATGAAAATCGAGAATATGTGTCGCCAATTGTATGGTGTCCTGTCACTCCATTGATGGACAACATTTACAGATCCAAATGGAGGCAGCCCATGGGAAGAGCGTCAAGTCAAGCGATCGATAATGAAAAGAATATTTGTATAGATGAGACCAATGTTGGTGAAAATGATTTGTGCATGTGTAAGGACGTTGAGGCTCAATTTGTCCTTCGTGGGGGGGAGCGCATTTACACACTTCATTACGTAACACCTTTATCAATGAAGAGAAGAGAAACTAACGAAGAAAACAGTATGTGTTATGGTGTTCTCCCCGTCATTAGAATATGTGTGAACCCGCCTGTAACTCCATGATATGTTAATTTTTTGCGCATCTATGAATGGAGAAAGTGTTTGCTTCCACGTGCCTTCCGTTGTTTTTGGGGACATGTATGGGTTGCCATATAAATGGCATTTGTATATTTTATGCAAACTGAAAATTGTAAAAAAAAAAAAAAAAGAAAAAAAAAGGAAATTATTCTTTTTTTTTTTTGCGTCGCCAAAAAATTTCTGGAAAAAAAAAATGTGCGACCACGATGTGTCTTGGCGGGTGCTCATGTGTTTTGTTCCTACCGCTCTGCTTTCTTTATGTTTTTACTTCCTTTTTCTTTCTGTGTGTGTGTCTGTCTGTCTGTGTGTGTGTGTTTGTAATCTCGTGCCCACTCACTGCTTTCCTCCACGTTGGGACGGGCGTCCGGTGGTTGTGGGGCCTTTTTTTTTTTCTTTCAAAAAAAAGCGACTGTCATCTTCTTTGTTCAAAGCGAGTCCAGTTATCATCGAATGTCCTTCACGAATCTTTTTTTTTTTTTTTTGATTGCTTGCGTGGCGCTGTATCCACACCTTCTTCCCTTTTTTTTTCCCTTTCGGCATACACGTCTTCTCTATGCATGTATTTATATGTATCTTGACATCGGCATTTTGGTTGAACTGGGCGCCGGTAGTTGAGTGGGTCGTCAGCTTTGCAATATTTGATGACCGAGTGTAGTTTTCATCCGGTGGTAGGTGTCAGCATCCTTTTTTTGTTTGTTGTTGTAGTAGTGGTGGTGGGTGTTGTTGTTTGCTGTGCTTGGATACATGAGTTTCTTTTCATATATTTATATTTATACTTTTTTCTCGCCCAGTTTATTATCTTCTTTGAGCCCTTTGAATGTCATGGCGTGATGTTTACAGTCGGAGAGAGAGAGAGAGAGAAAGGAAGAGGTGTCATTTATTTTTATTTTTCTTTTTACTCCCTCTTGTTGGGCGAGTGTTGTGGTGTATTGACCCCGCTGTGCGCATTCCCTCATCTCCTTTCCTTTTCTTTCTTTCTTTCTTTCTTTTTTTTTTTTTTTTTTGAAATTGGCCCCGCCCTTTTTATAGGCATTTGGTGCAAATTTATTGTCAGGCCTTGTCGTAGGAGGAATAGAGGGGGAGGGAAAAGTTCCATTGAATGTGGCGGCATTGGGCGGCATCCATATTTGCTGGTGGGGCCGTGTACCGTGGATGTTTACGTTTTCTTCATGACATTCGAGGAGGAACTGTTGGTTCTCCGTCTTTGGTTTGTGCCAAAATCACCAGGAAAGGTACCACCGCGGATGTTCACTTCTTCGCACCCGCCTTGTCTGTGGCGCGGCGTGGCGTCAAGTTATCTAACCCTAGCAGCAAACAAGGTAGTCAGCATTACGGTGTTGAACCAAAACTGGAGGCAGGCAAAGACGTTCAATTAAAACACACCGAAATGTACGACGGGTATACCGATGACTTTGGCGTGTTTAAAGAAGGACCTCCTACCACGTTACGGCTGGAATATGTTCGTTCCCCGGAACATGGATACTCGCAGCAATTACTTCAGAAAGATATCTGGTCTCCGTTTCAGGTCAATGCTAACATGATGATATACACGCCCTTTTATTATGACTGGAAGGGGTTTGCGAGTCGTGATTACTGGGGACATCGCAGTGGAACAAATCCTGGAAGTAAAGTCCTATTGGGTCATTATCGACGGGCGGAGGAGAGATCGTGGGGGTACCGTGTTATGGTGAACCACAAACCACAAAAGCGTATTCCTAAATGGTTAGCATGTATCGTTCATCTACCACGTAAAAAGACTTTTGTAGGATTTTTCTTGTACGCTAATGGGGCATACGTGGCGGAGCTTCTCACATACAAGCAGTTACCACGCATATGTTACAACAAACCTTTTCAAGGATGCATGCCAACCATTGGGCAGACGGTAGCGTTAAGTGAGGTGACGTATGGTAAGGAGTTGCACTCTGTGGAGATGTATCCTGGCCACGGCGGGGTTATTTGTCGTGCAAGCGGCACCGCAGCAGTGGTGCTACGAGGTTCAGAACCAAATCTTGTCCCTCTCTTGTTGCCCTCCAAAGAGGTGCGTCTCTTTGACAACCAATGTCACGCGGTCTTTGGACGACGTGCGGGGGTGATGTACCGTTACCAGCGCAACTTTGGGAAGCGCAATGTAGAGGAAAACATGCCACATCGACCAAAGGTGCACTCGAAGACGAAGCGCGTCTCGAGTCATCCTGCGGGTGGTGGCAATGGAGGGTCGGCCAATCTTCTTGTGCCGTTGGACTGGCGCATTCATCCACGGAACTGCGTTAAGACGAAGTACTGGCTTTCTGGCTACATTCTCCGTGGACGGCAGTATAACAAGAGTCAGACGGTTGCAGATATTAAGTCCAAAACATATAGCTGGGCAAATCGTGATCCCGTCTATCGTTAAGTACATGCGCTCCGTCTTTTTCTTACACTGTGTATGTGCGTTAGGTGTCGAATTCATATTTTTCTTTTTATTTAATTTTTGGTTTTGCCATTCAATTGTGAAAGAAGTTATTTTCCCCTAATTGTTTTTTTTTTTTTTGTGTGTGTTGCTTTTCACTGTTTTATGATGCATGGCTGTCTTCCATGTGCAGTGACAAACGGATTGCGCATGTGCGTGTATCTCTATCTGTACCTTGTCCCTTTGCCCAATTATTCTACATGCGTACTTACATGTATAAATAGAGTAAGAGAGAAAACGATATAGAAAGAGGAGATAACATATTATACGTTTTACATATAAGCAATTGAAGTGATTTATAATTCCATGTTGAGACGTGCGGTGAATATATCCATTGCCAGAGGGCGCATGGCGTTGATGAGCTACGCGACGCTGCCTGACCTTTTAAAACCAAGTGGCGCCCCGGCCGAGTTGCCCAAGTTAGGGTTTAACTGGAAGGATGGATGTGCCCCTGTCTTCAGCCCGCGCCAGATGGAATTGCACTACACCAAACACCACAAGGCGTATGTGGACAAATTAAATGCGCTGGCAGGGACAACATACGATGGGAAGAGCATTGAGGAGATTATCCTTGCGGTCGCAAATGACGCCGAGAAGAAGGGTCTTTTCAACCAAGCCGCACAGCATTTTAACCACACCTTTTACTTCCGTTGCATCACCCCTAATGGGAAGGCGATGCCAAAGTCCTTTGAGTCTGCTGTTACGGCCCAGTTTGGTTCGGTGGAACAGTTTAAAGATGCCTTTGTGCAGGCAGGGGTGAATAACTTTGGCTCGGGTTGGACGTGGCTGTGCGTGGACCCGTCGAATAAGAATCAGCTCGTTATTGACAATACGAGCAACGCCGGATGCCCCTTAACGAAGGGACTGCGCCCCGTCCTCGCAGTGGATGTGTGGGAGCATGCGTACTACAAGGACTTTGAAAACCGCCGGCCGGATTACTTGAAGGAGATCTGGTCGGTCATCGACTGGGAGTTTGTTGCAAAGATGCATGTGCAGGCAATAAAATAAAATAAAAAAGAGAGACGAGACAAAAGAAAAGAGGGGGGGGAAGAAGAAGAAGAAGAAGAAAAAGGGGATGATTGGGTGGAATGGAAGAAGAGTAAAAAAAAAAAAAAAAAGAATTGCGTCTATTGTGAACGCCTGTCAATGAAGTGCGGAAGATGACCGCATCCGCTTATTTGCTTACCATTATTATTATATTATTATATGTCAATGTTATTTTGTGATGTGGAGATACACAAAATAAAAATAAAAATGGAATACCGCAGGCGAACACACACACACACACGCATACACCGACCTAAATAATGCAATGAGAAGAAGAGAGGGGAAAAAAAAAACGAGGGAAAGAGAGACAACATGAATAAAAATTACATACGTCTATTTTGTCACCGTCTTGTGTGGAATGTGATTGGTTATGAAGAGGGTTACAAGAAGGTGTTTTTACTGGATGCAACATATATATATATATATATATATATATGACTCTTTTGCTTTTGTTTTTTACATAACGTGGCATTTATTCAGCCTGACGAAATGTGAGATATGTTCCTGCATAGCTTGTGTGTATGTGTGTGTGTGTGTGTATGTGTGTGTGTGTGTGTGTGGACTCCCTTTTACTGAGGGATTAGGATGGTGGCTTTGTGCTTACTCATTTTGTGTATGTCTTAATAACCCGATTTTTATTTTTTATTTTCCATTTTCTTTTTTTTTTTTTTTTTGCTTTGCTTTGCTTTGCGTGGATGGACATCTCTGTAGTATAATAATAAATAATAATAATAAGCCAAGGGAAACATTTCTCTTTCTCTCTCTACATCTCTCTTTCTGTGTCTGTAAAAGGCGTAGTAACAACGGCGACGGGAAACCATGCAAGGTCAGATGATGGTGATGCATGCAATGGAGCACTACTCCATGCTTGATCTTGCAAACGATGTTTTAGAGAAGTGCTGGAACATTTGCTTTGACGTCAATCTTACACGGAAGGAGCTGGTGGAGGGTGATCTGCCGGATAGCAAACTGCGCAAGATGGAGGCATGTCAACGCAAGTGCATCGCGCGGCACTTTGAGGTGATGAAGTTGATGAACGGGGCCCGGGAGCTGCGGGAGAAGGAGGCGTTGCAGGGACTCCCACCAGGGTCTCTTAGCGCAGAGTAGAATTGAGATGGAAAGACAACCTTCACCAGAGAAAGGGGAAGGTGACATGATTCACAGGCGTTATTTATTTATTTGTTGTTGTTGTTGTTGCCACTGCCCCCGTTGTTGGTTTAGCGTTGGATTTGGTTTTCGCTAATCATGTCATGGGACCCGATGTCTTTTTTTTTTAATCATCGCTCTCTACCACTTTGTCTCCTATACCGCAATGCCAGGACACATGTCTTTTTATTCACCCTTTCTCTGTCTGTGGGCGTGTGCGGGTGCCTACGCGGCAACACTGGCATTCGGGTGAGGCAAGGCGAGAAGCCGGCGAAGAGGAAAAAAGAAGGAAAAGGAAGGGAGGGTGCCGTGTGACATGCACAGCGTACATGCGTCTACAATAATAATCTTCGTAAATAATCCATCAACGTGTGGAATTGCATCTCCACGCATTTGTGATGATGCGCCAGTCGTCAAATGCACCACACGAATAAAAAGTCTGAAGGCATTTAATTCTTTTGAATTTTCATCCATTTTTTTTCTTTTTCTTTCTTTTTCTTTTTTTTTTTGCCTTTTTCCCCCCGACCTTCTTTTTCCTTTTTCTTTACTGTTCCTGGAATGGTGTCTCCTTGTCTTCTCCTCTTTTTCTTTTTTGTTGGTTTGTTTCTTGTTGTTCTTTGAGTGTTGCTTTTGAGCTTTCCAGCGCAGGGGAGAAGTGACGCTGAAAGGATATATATATATATATATACTTATATTATTTTTTTTACTTATCCACCACCACCACCACCGCCTGGCTGCCTCTCGCACGTGCGTGCATACAGACATTTATCAAACGTACGACTATTAGCTTGGAATACTTTAGGCAGTTGGCCAGGAACTACCGGCGGTGGTAGACGGAGCACACATATATAAATATATATAAACCGGTGGGTGGGAATTGAGGGGAGGGTAAAAGGGGAGGAGGGGGGGGGGGGGGAAAAAGGAGAGAAGAGGAGAAAAAGGGGGTGGCAAGGCAAAACAAGAAAACAATTGGGAGTGAAGATGGCGGATCGTCTACGTTTGTCATTGTCGTTGTACTTTTCAAAGCACATGGATCGTGGGGATTGGCGAAGTGTTCTCAGAGCTCTTCACGGCTGCGCTGAGACGGGAACGCTGCTGCATAGTCTTCCTCACGACACGATCTTTCCATTTTTGGTGGCGAATGGGCAGTGGGAGTCCGTCCTGCGCCTCAGTAGCCAACTTATCGCAGTGGAAGAGTCTCACAGCAACAACAAGAAGAAGACGAAGAAGGGAAATAAAGGGACGGCGGTGTCACTGGCACAAGAAGAGGGGTTGTACAACACTCTACTTCGTGCGACACTTGCCCAGGAGGCGGTGTCGAGCATGGGGAGTTGGCAGGCGGCGGCAGCCATTGTGCAGCGCGCCGCGCGACGCCGTGTACGATTAGAAACGCCAGTCATACGAGATGTATTGAGGACTGTGGAAAATTGGCAGCATGAACTTGCGAACGGCAGCAACAGCAGTGGGACTCCTTCTGGAAAAGAGGAGAGTCCCGGCTGCAGTGATGCCCTGCTGCTCACACGGGACATGCTTGCTGCAGATCTGCATCTTCGCGGAAAGTCTTCTCCCATTCCCAAATCAACGCCTGCGTGCCGCCCCCCGCGGGTGCTCCAGCCGGATTTGGTGCAGGCCATTCACGACACTGTTTTTCAGGGATCCTTCACGAAGGACAGAAATGACCCCACTCACTGGGAGAAGTTGAGAGAGCAGATGCACGCGAGTTTTACTTCATCTTGGGAAGATGCTGTGTACACGGTGCTTCATGTGTGTGTTCCTCGTACCGATTCAATCAGAAAAGTTGAAGAGGGTGAAACAGTGGACACAGTGCTTCAATCAACTATTGATTACATCACCGTGCGACCAGATGCCGCCGAGAAGATTCTTCATTGGACGCTGCAGCGTATGTTTGATGGTGCCATTATTACTCTTCCACATTCAAGTCTACTTGGAATTGAGCAACGTGATAATGTTGGTGGTGGTGGTGATGGTGATTCTAGAAGTGACAGCAGTGATAATGGGACTTCTTTGGCGTGGTGGAGGAGAGAAGTTGAAAAACAGCCAGCGCTGGAATTGCCTAAGTGGGAGATGGTAAAGGCGCTGGCCATGGCGGAGTTGGAACAACGTGAACGACAGTGGGCGATGGTGGAAGGCGTTCTCTGTTGTTGGAAAGAGGAGTCAAGGGAGAAGAGAACCCACACTTCGACTCTCACACGGCTTTGTATTGCCGTGCAGTTAATCTGCATGAGAGACGATGCTTTGGAGCAGAAGGGGATTCCCGTTTATTGGAATGACATGAAACAAAAGGAAATGGAGTGTTTGGCACGCAAATTACTTCTGCACGGTTCTGTGGTGATGGCGACTGCAACTGGTGTGGATGACTTTCTTTTTTCTCTCTTGTCGGACACCGTTCAAACCTTAATGACGGTTTACATTCGCCTTTGTTATGTGCGGGATCACAGGCGAAGAATGTTGCTGAACCACACAGGGAGGTCGCACGTAGGACAACCTCAGACACCCAAAGAATACGTCGGCGGTACTTTCGACAAGAAGGGGAATGCGAACAACAACGCCAATGACATTTATAGTCTTTCTTCAAAGTCAGCACTTGCTTCTGGACGGGATGTATTTTGGGAAAACGTTCTCTTTCCATACACATTGGCTGGTTGGCAGCGTTCGCCAATAGCTGCTTCGTGGCAAGAGCTGTTGCGACTTGTGTTCTGCGATGCTTCCCTATTAAAAATGTGGTTCTT